TGACCTGATCGCAGCGCTGATCTGCTCCGATCCCGACCGGTCCCGCAGCGCCCGCCGAACGGTGAGGGGGGAAAGGGGCGCTGGGTGCTAGCGACTCCGAGAGACACCGGGACTAGGGCGGGCGGCGCTTGTGGGGCTCCCGGCTGGAGAGCGGGTGCTCCAAGGGAGCGGCTTTAAACTTCCATTCCTTTTGGCCAGAGCACGGGCTGCGCACAGCCGGCAGAAATGCTGCACAGCCACGGCTGTGGGCACAGCGCGGGCTCCGAAACTTCTCTGGCAGCGGTGATACCTGCGTGGCAGCTTGGCAGGTGATCCTGGCAGGTAGCAGCCCCTGTGACTCTGAATTCTCTTCTTTGCTCAGTATAGGCAATCATGAGCGATCGAAAGGCTGTGATCAAGAATGCAGATATGTCAGAAGAGATGCAGCAAGACTCTGTGGAGTGTGCAACACAGGCACTGGAGAAGTACAACATCGAGAAGGACATTGCTGCTCACATAAAGAAGGTAGATGTTTGCTTGTAATGTCCTCGTGAAAAGATCAAGCAGGCAGAATGCTGCTAGGCGAGTATCTCTAGAGAAACAAGTTCTCGAGACACTAGATAATCAAGTTGGACTTTCTCTGTAGGCTGCTGTCCTCTTGTTCCTTTCCCCACCCTTTATGTGGACTTTCCCAGGTTCTTCTGCTTTTCTCTCACAGTACCTTCTATTAAAGCCTTTTCTGCCACTGTCCCATTTTCCAGGTGAACAGAGAGTGGCCACTGACTGTCCCTCTGATGAGCTGGTACAAAACATAGGGGCTCTGTTGAGCCCATTTGACAAGTGGGGGTTTGTTGACCTTGTAATAAGTGGTTTTGCTTTTTTTTTCCCACACCACATGTAAGACAAACTGTTCGTGCCAACGCAGAACAGATGGTTCATAGCTCACAGTTGTCAGATTTTTTCTCTGACTCCTACTGGGAGCCTGACTGAGCTACAAGTAGTTGAAGGGTTGGGTTGAGCAGAACACAAACTCCTGCACGCTCTCACAAAAATCTCTTCAGGTGATGGTTGTTGGGTACTGCAATATATAACCATTGACTGTGTAGTTTTAATGAGAGTAGTGTTGTACACATGAATCATAGAATCACAGAATGTTTTAGGTTAGAAAGGATCTTAAGATCATCTAGTTCCAATCCCCTGCCATGGGCAGGGGCACCTCACCCTCGACCATGTTGCCCAAGGCTCTGTCCAACCTGAGTTTATTTTAAAGTCATAGCAGGCTCCAGGCTATAGCATGCAGGAAGAACACAGGCTCAAGACCTGGGATCAAGGATGTGGTAAAGAATGTTCCATCTAAGAGTCCTCTCAACATCCTTGTTGAAAATAGCTAATGAACTCAAAATAATGGCTTAGTCTAGAGAATCCGAACGCAAAGTGAAGTTCTTAGAAGTTACTGTTTGAGATCATGGTGTGACTTTTGGGGAAAGTTACTTCTCCAGACATATGTTTCAAGCTTATTCCTGCTCAGCTCAGTAGCACCTTTTTTTTTTTGGTCTGACTAAGCAGCAGATGAGTTATATGGTGACATATGATCCTTGCACTTAAGAGCATCTGCTACTCCTTAATTGCCTTCTTCCAAAAGTGACACTTGCTAACAAGTGACTTATCTTTGCAAAAATAGCGCTTGTTAGACAATATTAGTGCAATTCTCACTGAAATGCTGACTTTCTAGTTTTCCCTTCCATAGGAATTCGACAAGAAATACAATCCTACCTGGCACTGCATCGTGGGGAGGAACTTCGGCAGCTACGTGACTCATGAGACCAAGCACTTCATCTACTTCTACCTCGGCCAAGTGGCTATTCTTCTCTTCAAGTCTGGTTAGACCCATGGACTGTTACTGAAACTTGCACCTGGTTCCAGGACTGCACCAACTCCAAACAGCCTCCTACCTTCAGCCTTCCTGAGGAAACAGACCTTCAGGTCTTTTGTTGTATTGTTCATGGTCAGGGATTTTGCTGTATCAGCTGGTTTTTTCATTGTGGCTATAAAAATGGCAAAAATGTCTTCCTTGTATTTATTTTCTTTCAGAAGATGGTTTCTTTGCTAATAAAACTGTTGGAACAAGTTTATCCTTTAAGACTTGTCTCTGCCCTTCTGCCTTTTTAGTGCTTGTATTACCGTTTATTCCACTGTGAATGAAGGGGGAACATTCCTACCTCCATCCCACCTCTCACATCCACAGCGACTGAAGCCTGAGCTCACCTCTCAGTAACAGAGAACAGAGGTAGTTTCTCTGAGAGGAAAAGAGACTTCTCCCCAATTCCTGGTAAGAATGTTTTCACTAGCCACAACCTCCAGTGCAAATTCTGGAGTTTAGAGAGAGGGTGTTCTTTTGTGATTTCAAGTGAATTGGTGGGTTAAAAGCAGGAGTCTCTTCCTCTCCTCCTTTTCAGGAGAAATATTCATATTAGTTCATTACACAGTTGTCACTTTGAATGTAAATTTACCTTCTCTATACCTTTTTTCCCCTCTAACCCTATATCCTGCTACAGAAGCAAGTATACAGAAGGAAATGCATATTATTTTTACATAAAGATAATACATCTAGCACTGATAAAGATTTCATATGGAGGTGAAAACACCTCATCTTGAAATGGCTTTGTTGTCATTCTCTTCCATAAAAAAATCCCATTCTTAGAAAGGAAATCTTACAAAGGCTAAAATACTGACTTAAGTGAAAAAAGTTAATGCAGAGCTGGTTTTATTTCACAAGTCTTCCATTTGCCCTTGAAAATGGTAAAGGAATCATGGGGAAAATCCTTTAAAGTCTGCATGACAGAGATAATAACCACTTAATAAAAATCTAATAAATTCAAGTTACTTCTCATTAGTGCAATATCCTTTTAGAACCGTAGTAAAAAAATGAGGCATCTTATTTGAAGACTGGTCAGTCTGTTTCTGTATCCACACCACTGGTAACTGAAGTGGCTTCATTTTGCCAGCGTTGCTCAGCTTTGGCCTTGTCTGTTACATTGCACTTGAAAGGAAATGCAAGTATAAGAAAATCCCTGGGAGTCACTCCATCAACCCACAGATCTCTTGGGGGAAGAAAGGTGCTGATGCTCTTCAAGGTCTGACAGCTGAACAAGTATCTGCTGCACGAGTTCTTAAAGCTCCTCTTCAATCTTGATAAAATTTCATGCCTTTCATATTCACCAGGAAAATTACACTTCCTGATTTCCTACATAGTAGACTCACAGTTTGAAACCTGAGTGAATGGCAACAATGCCCGAGTTTAAATTCTGATAATCCACTTTAAAAAAGCCTGCATCTTCTATCATTGCCTTCAGCTCCTCCTGAAAAATAACAGTTCCAGAATTATAACGACCTGAAGGCTTATAAGCCAGCTGCCTGCAAGGTTATGTTGGGACCATGCTTTGTGTGTTAGTGGATTCACAGAGAAATATTGCCTTACCTGAGGGGGGAAACGTCGGATGCTCTCCACAAGATACTGGTAGGACTTCCAGTCACCAGCGATTACCTCACCCAGAACAGGGATGACCTGGAAACTGTATAGATCATAGAGCCTGCACAGAGAGAGAGCAAATACAGATTAATAAAAACAAGCTTAAAACCACCCCTCTCCAACACAAGTTGATCTCTCTGCCACCGTGCTACGAAGTCTGTGTATGATTTTAACAGCACACAGTGCGGTGGCATTCAAGTGTCTCCATCACTTATTCTGGTTGAGTATGTGACATGGCATAAAGTGTCATCATGTTCCTACCTGGAAATGATAGGATTGCTGACATGACTAAACTCCAGGCAGAGGAATCTTCCTCCTGGTTTCAGCACACGATAGGCTTCCTGAAGTGCCTGAGACAAAGCAGACATGGTGAGTTAGTTTCTGTAGGACAGCATCTGCCTATTCTCATGCCATGTGATGGCAATTTGGTGGTGAACTGAGAGGAGTAAAGAGAATCCTGACTGGCAATCTCCAATATTTACTTGTGGAGAAGCATCCCAAGACAAGTACAAAACCAAAGAACAGAACCAAACCGCAAATACTCTTGTTGCTACATAAACATATTTACACCAGACTTTGTATCGAAACTATGATGTCAGGTTGGCAATTTTTCTTCTTTTTTCCCTCCTCTCAGTTGATGAATGTTTGCCAGCAGAGCCCTTGTAATTATAGACCAAACCCAAAAGGGAGAAGGTGACTCAGCTACAAGCACCTGAAAATGAGAAGAGAGCACGATAGACAGTTTTTCCTTTTAAATAAAAGATTTTACTCAACTGTGAGACACACCCAAAGGATCAAAGAAGAAATTATACTGGGTTTTGGATGAGCAATGTGTGAGAGCAGGGAAGAAGGAGAGGGAAGGAGAATATCTTTGGCTACTTTTAAATTTCCATCCTAAATCCAAAATAACACCCCTATGAAGAACCAAGACAAACTGTTTAAAGCTGTATGTTTTTTCATATGAGAGCACAACACAGTTGTATTCAAGAACCTTTGCAGGTTGTACACCTTCTTGGTTTCAACTGTCATGCTCCTAAGGGATAAAATATAAACAGTGACAGGAGCTCTGTGAAAGAATTGGAGGCTTGGATGTGTTTTGTACCTGGTTTCCAGGGAACTATGCTACCAGCCTGCTGTATCCATGAAGGCTGTCGTGGTTTAAGCCCAGCCGGTAACTCAGAACCACGCAGCCACTTGCTCACTCTCCCCGCTTCTTCCTTCCCCCACTCCAGGAGGGATGGGGAGGAGAATCAAAACAATGTAACTCCCACGGGTTGAGCTAAGAACAGTCCAGTAACTAAGGTATAATACAAAACCACTACGACTACCACCAATAATAATAATGGTAAGGGAAATAACAAGGGGAGAGGATACAATTGCTCACCACCCACCAACCGATACCCAGCCTGACCCGAGCAGCGATCTGGGCCTTCTAGGTAACTCCCCCCAGTTTCTATACTGGGCATGACGTGCTGTGGTATGGAATACCCCTTTGGCCAGTTTGGGTCAGGTGTCCTGCCTCTGCTTCCTCCCGGCTTCCCCTCCTCCCTGGCAGAGCATGAGACTGAAATGTCCTTGGTTGGAGTAAACATTACTTAGCAACAACTAAAAACACCGGTGTGTTATCAGCGTTGTTCCCAGGCTAAAGTTGAAAACATGGCACTGCACCAGCTACTAAGAAGGAGAAAAATGACTGCTACAGCTACACCCAGGATAAAGGCAAAGGGCCTGTGCTTCGGAAGGGTGCAGACACAGCACCGTGAAAAGCTATCCACATTAAGGGAAGTTCAAAGCCATACAGTTCAAGGTGGTTTGGATCCAAACACTACACCTTCTACAGAAGGAGCACTGACAAGGTTGTAACATGCTCCTCCAAAACACAGACAAGTCCAGATAGACAGGTGATCTAACCTATCTTCTTCCCAAGACAGCCAGTCATTCTTGAAGGACACATATAGTTTAGAATAAAGAGTATTACTTACCCTAAGTAAACTCATACTCATTCTTCATGGGAAACTCTACTATCAGCCAGTGTAAAGACACTAAGCAGAAATGGGCTGAACAGGTTAGTCAATGGCAGTGGTGGCAGCAGCAGCCAACTCTCTGCTCTGGAAGTTCTGCTGGGAAACAGAACAGGGCAGGAAGCATTGGACCCACCGCGGGTAGGATATAGATCAGGTGTTCAGGAACCTTTCTAACATGCAGGCTGACTGCACTGGGCATGTGTAGATCCAGTCACATCATAGGTCAGGAGAAGGTGAGGAATGACTGTAGCATTCAGCCCTTTTTGCCTTAAAACGAGACTGTGTGGCTTGCCAAGCTGGAAGGATGGGGTGCAACTGGTATAAATCTAACTTTTTATGACAAAGGTGGGGCATTTAATTGCATTCTCCATTTGAACAACTTGCACATTACACGCCACTTATTTTAAATGCTTCAGGACTAGACAACAATATTCCTTTATCCAAATGAGTTCCTCTTTTACTTCTGTTAGAATAAAAAACTCAGATGAATCGTAAGGACCCCATGTCAGGATACGCTATGACAACTTACCAAATCAATACGAGTTACATTTCGGATTCCAAAGGCAATTGTGTAAACATCAAACTTATCATCATCAAAGGGCAGCTCTTCAGCATTCCCAAGTACCCAGGATAAGCCTGTAGTAAAAGCCAAGGACACAGCACTGAACTCAGACTGCTCCAGAAAGACCAGGATTTACCTATTCCAGATTATTTAAAAAAGTGGTATTTAAAGATAACGCTTCAATTTTACATTTTTATTGGTGGAAAGACACCTTGGTCTATACACACAAAACTTTCAAAGCCCTGTACTATGTAGCTGTACTTAAGTACTTAGCCAAAGTACTTAATTTTGCAGATCAACCAAAACTTTTTTCTGCATATACACACATGTTGTGCTCACAGTGCCCTAGTCTGTCAAAAAGATTTCACCCAAATCTTGCATTGTAGTGGAAAGCAACCAGTTTTGCAGACACTGGCCGCCATTTGTTTGTAGCAAAGGTGCAAAAAGAGAATCTCTGCTCAAACAATAATTAATGTCTTGCCATACAACAATGGCCAACACTCTAAAAGCATTTTGCTGGAAAGTTTCCCTAGACAGAAGCACATGAAAAGCCACACTCCCTCCATCAGCGCTATCAGCATATGATCCTGTCACAGCTCTGCTGCTTCCCAATCCCCAATGGTTCAAGACCATGTCTATCTGTGCACGTCCAGGCTATTTGTACCAAAAATGAGACTGTTCAGTTTATAATTAATAGTTCCTAAAGACACTGGTTTTGGTGACTCAAATGCAAACCAAAACAAAACAGAAGTTTTCTGCAGCAGAGGTCAGCAGTTTCAAAGGGCAGGATGCCAGAAAGTGACATTGAGGAGAGCAAAACACAACAGAATAAACACAGTTGTTGCCAGGAGACAAGCAAATTTCATTTCAAGTTCAGTTTCTCTCAGTGGTATTAGCACTTGTTCTAACTGGAAGGTTTTATAGGTTTACAATATCCCTTAGTTCTTGCATTTTTATTTGCTGTCTTCATTCTTAAAATACCCATTATAAGATCGTTAGTGTACTCATTCTAGTGTACTCTGCCTTAGTAAAATCAGATTTGTTAGCACAGATATAAAAAGCAGGTCTGGATGCTTTAACCAATTTTGAATAGCTGGGTATCAGACCTCATGGACACTTCCATACAGGTATTTTTGAAAGGTCAAGTATTATTCAAGAGGATCACTGTACATCTGAACAACATACTACATACATGTTCACTGAAAAGTAATTCAATGTTGGCAAATACACAAGCACAGGTACAGTACACACCATGGCCACACAATGTATATTATAATCCTGAACTGGTGATCACCTGATGATCACTACACGTCAAGCACACTCTGACATGGTACAATGCATGACTCACCTTCAGAGTAGCCAAGATACTGTGCTTTCTGCTTCCCAACTTTTAACATTTCTTTGTTAATGTCACAGACCACCACTTGGGAATCCCCTAGTGGCTTAAACTGCTCTTCCTGGTAACTCTCAGAAATTTCCTTCCACGATAAAGTCTGATGGTGCCTCAGCTTCCGCTGGAGCTGCTGTTCCCGTGCAGAGCGAATGTAATTAATAAAGCGCAAGGCAATGTCACCTGCAGTTGTTTGAATAGAAAGAAATGTGTTTGGGAATGTTTTCTGACTCCAGGAAATTGGAACATAAGGCTTTGAACATCAAACTGGGTTCATTTTTATTTATATATATGCATATAAATAAACGTAAAACACACGCAGTATAGAGAGACAGAGAGAGTGTGTGTATATATAAAGGGAACATATTAAAAGCAAAGAGTCCATGACTTCCTACAAACGTAAACAGTTTTCCATAACACATCATGGCAGGACTGTAACACTTTCAGAGCCTTGGAGCAAGATATTACAAATCACAAAGAAGTTAGCTCTCAACTTTTCTCTGAAAATCAGTAGATGCTTCACTAGTTTTAAAGACACAGAACTGAGGGGAGGAAAAAAAGTCTAGGCAACTTAATTCTGAGCAGGCTCAAACAGTTCAAAACCAGCATGGCATTGTCATGTGGAACTCACCAAAATTATTTACCTGTTCCTCCAGCAACATCAAGAAGAAGTGTTCCTGGGGAAGGGTTCATTTTATGCACGAAGATGTCCTTCCACACGCGATGAATCCCTAGAGTCATTGAATCATTCATTACATCGTATTTCTTGGCCACACTTTCAAAGACCTGGTTAACTGCAAAGAAAGAAGAATGAAACGCAATTTATTTAAAAATGCTCATCTAGAAGCAGAACGAATCCTTTATTGCCTCGTGGAGGTCTGTCAACATATGGAACTGAAAAATACCACCTGAAAACTCCTTACAAAAAACGCAATTGAAATGCACTGAGCCTGTTGCCTGACACACGCCTTTGGAGAAATGCAGCCTCTTCCCGTAACCCCTCCAGAGCTCAGTGGAAGAAAGAAGCTGGAATAACGCTGCTACTATGCACCGCGGCTCCCGGTAACGTCTCAAACCAACTGCTCCAGCAGCCTTTAC